ACCCTGCCTCCCAACAGACAGGTAGCAGAGAAGAGACTGCAGTCTTTAAGACGCAAGATGCAGCGTGATCACAAGACCAAACAGCAAATCGGTCAGGCTCAAGTTTTACACCAGCTGAGCATCCCACGCCAATTCACGGCCAGGAGCCCTTTACAGAGCTGGCACACCGATCTCCATGTCTTTTGCGATGCGTCGGAGAAAGCTATCGCAGCTGTGGCTTATGCCAGACAAAAGGGCTCTAGTTCTTGCACTTTAGGTTTTGTTATGGCCAGGGCCGAGATTGCTCCATCTGATGCCACCATCCCTAAGTTAAAAGTGCCCCCAGATAGGACCCCAGTGTCAATAGGTATTTGAGTACAGAAAATGTTTCATGGTTGTTTAATGTACCGCGTGCATCTCACATGGGGTGTGTGTGTGTGGGAACGTATGATTGGTTTGTATAGAAAGACTTTAAATGCTATGTTTCTAAAGTATAAGAATTTGACTCACGATGTTTGGGTCCGTTTATTATAGTGTAGATTTCTCATCATTGAGAAATCTAGGCCAGGAGTGTTCTGGAACAGCTGTTCCAGGAGCTCCAGATTTATTTGCTGTGTTTGCATGTTTGTGTGCAATCCCATGCTTGGGATTTGTAGCAGGGGGTTTCCTGTTATAATTTGCATTTATAGGGTAAGCCACCTGCCAGTTATAGTTAGGTTCCCTGATCCCGCCCCTTTTTGAGTTTTGGAGGGAAAAAAGCCATTTTGAGTTAGTTCTCACAGAGAAGCCTTTCGCACAGGACATAGAACGAAGTGGCTCCTGTAGAAAAGCTTCGTCTTTTACAGCTTGGCCGGGGTTATACAGCCCTACGGCTTGGCCAGGAGACATACAGCCACAGCTTGGCTGAGGGACTCCAGCCGGCCATCACAGCAACCTGAACTCCTTCTTTTTCCCTGGAGGTCTACAAAGCTCTGTTGGGGCAAGGGTCACTCGCGGAAGCCAGACGCAGTTGGTACCGGGTGCAGGGGCTCCACGTCAACAGAGGCAAGTACAGACTGCCCAGATTAGAAGCTAGGATTTCCCCTTTAGTTAATTATAGTTAAGAAGATAGTGCCTGTTCCTAGCGGACAAGTTTGAGAGAACTGATACTTTAAAGCTCTACAATACCTGTTTGTTCCTTAATAAAAGAACTTTGTTGGACTTACTTTAAGCATTCTAAAGACTCTGTTTGGGGGAATCTAAGGGCCTTTATTCTGAGGCAGCCCCGGCGTCCCGTTGGGCACAGAGAATTTATGTCCTGTGTACAGTCTATTGCATAGGCCCAGCGTGCGACAGCACAAACGTTTATGGCGAATTTGGCTTCTCTCAATGTTTATCAAAATTAAGGATTTTGCTCAATATAGAAACTCTATCATTTCTAATTTTTTAGTCTCATTTTTTAAATTTCAGGAATGTATCATCAAGAAACAAAAGGTAACAAGAATAACAGCAAAGATAAAAATTAAATGAGTCATTCTTATAATTTTTCATATTTTGAAAGCATTATTTATAAACAGATGTTGAATGTTTGGCAATATTCTTGATGTATTTGGACGAGAAGGTTCAACTGTTCGTTATTAATCCTCCTTTGGTCTTAAAAAAGACATACCAAAAAAGACAAACCAATTTTAAAAAGACATACCAATTTTGCTTTTAGCTATACCTGTTTCTATTAAATTAAACAAATGACCTCCTTCATTTTAGAACCATCTATTATACTACCAATTGTCACTCCCTTTTTCCTTTATCTATGCACACAACATTCCTTCCATATCCACTCACAGCTCCCTTCTCTCAATCACATATGGCTAAAGGGAAAGGAAATGGCTTGAAATCTTTGAATGAGGACTTTCTCCTGGTCCCATCACAGCCCCATCTGGCGAGAAGGCATTTTGGTGGCTCTTCCGAACAAAAGAATTACATTAGTTACCCCATATGCTCTCCTTAGTTCATAAGAATCTTTTAATTCAAACAGGGATTTGGCGATTTACTGGTCATGCAGAAGGAGTTTTAATGGGTGTTTTAGTGCTGCACTTTCTTAATGTTACATTCTTATAGATTGTTTTTTTAATGGTTTTAAATTACAGGTTTTTAAATAGGTAAGTTATTTAACTTCATAATTGCTTCTTTTGTCTTTTTAAATATATACTTAACACTGCCTTGGATCTCACATTAGGAGAAAGGAATAATCAAAATTAAATAAATGCTTTACCATCCAGAAACTGGATTGCAACTCCCATTACTTCAGCTGAAGCTGGTGAAATGGTGTTCAGCAATATCGTGAAGGTCACAAGTTCCTTTAACAGTGCACTTTGGAATCATACTAGCTCTATAATAACCTTCAGCTCATGTTCCACAGCAAATGCTCTATGATCCTCTGGCATATATGATGACCCCAGTTTTATTCACAGCCTTGGAAATGGAGTCGGGGAGATTGATATTTCCAGCAGTTATGACTGCATTTCAGAGAAGGCAGAGCATTGGGAACATTGCTGTCTTCTTGCTTGATATTTTTTGTCATTTTCAGACAAGGAATAGTAGGTTTCTTAGAAGTGAAGTTATAGAACAAAAAATCATGGTTTGTAGCTTCATGGTTTGGGCTACGAAGTGAAGGTCGATAATTGCTCTGTGGCTTTCTTGCATTGAGATGCCTGGGCTTGTGCAACTTCATCTGCACTTCCTTTTTCCGAGGAAGATTTAACATCACTTTGGGCAGTGTTTTTGAGATACGAGTTCTTTCAGAGGACAGGTTGAATATCCCTTTTCTGAAAATCAGAAATGCTTCAAAATTCTACATTGTTCACATCTGTGTCTGAGATAGCAATACCTTTGCTTTATATTCAACGCTCAGTTTGTATCATGCACAAAATAATAAAAAATTGTACATGTGAAATTACTATCACATTATATGTATAAGGTGTGCATGAAACATAATTACATTTTGTGTTTGGAATCAAGTACTTTGCCAAGATACCATATATATATGCTACTATTCCAAAATAAAATTAAAAAATCAGAAATCAAAACGTTTTGGTACGAAGCATTAAATAAGATTGTATGCATTGAAACCCTCCCACCCTTTTGCCATTTATGAGTCCAGACTGATGTAGATTGTGTTTATCATAATTAGTTGTTGTTTGCCTTCAAGCCATTTATGAATTATGTCAACCCTAACACACGGCTTCTTGGTGAGATTGATGCTTTCAAGCTGCCTGTTGATTTATGGCAACCCTATGACTTACGTACATCTTCATCACACTAGAGAGAAAAAAATCCACTTAAAATCCGGTTTCTGCCTCCCGCAAAATTCTGGGGTTTGTAGTTTAGTGAGGCTGCTAAAGGCTCCTCCCTAAACTACAAACACCAGAATTCTGCAGGAGGCAGCAACCGGATTTTAAATGGATTTTTTCTTTAGTGTGATGAGGCTAAATAGTGTTTTGGACAAGGAATACTTTGTATTGTCAAAGGCTTTCATGGCCGGAATCACTGGGTTGCTGTGAGTTTTGCAAGTTGTTCCAGAAGCATTCTCTCCTGACGTTTCACCCACATCTAGGGCAGGCATCCTCAGAGGTTGTGAGGTTTGTTGGAGACTAGGCAAGTTGGGTTTATGTATCTGTGGGACATCAGGAGAGAATGTTACTTATTTATTTATTTCTCGTGTCAGGGCAGCCAGTCAGTTATATTACATTTCTAACAGAACAAAGCAAAGAAACAGAGAAAATACAAAATGTGTGAGTTTGGTAGTTGATTAAATGTCCTTTGACCAGTATCTGGCCACTTGGTGTGCTTCTGATGTTGCTGCAAGAAGGTCCTCCATTGTGCATGTGGCAGGGCTCAGGTTGCATTGCAGCAGGTGGCCAGTTGTTTGCTCCTCTCCACATTCGCATGTCGAGGATTCCACTTTGTAGCCACATTTCTGAAGGTTGGCTCTGCATCTTGTGGTGCCAGAGCGCAGTCTGTTCAGTGCCTTCCAAGTCGCCCAGTCCTCTGTGTGCCCAGGGGGGAGTTTCTCATTTGGTATCAGCCATTGGTTGAAGTTCTGGGTTTGAGCCTGCCACTTTTGGACTCTCGCTTGCTGAGGTGTTCCAGCGAGTGTCTCTGTAGATCTTAGAAAACTTTGTCTGGATTTTAGTCGTTGACGTGCTGGCTGATACCCAAACAGGGGATGAGCTAGAGATGTCTCTGCCTTGGTCCTTTCACTATTGGCTGCCACTTCCCGGCAGATGTCAGGTGGTGCGATACCGGCTAGACAGTGTAATTTCTCCAGTGGTGTAGGGCGCAGACACCCCGTGATAATTCGGCATGTCTCATTAAGAGCCACATCCACTGTTTTAGTGTGGTGGGATGTGTTCCACACTGGGCATGCATGTTACTGGAACATGGCCATACAGTCTGGAAAACTCACAGCAACACAGTGATTCTGGACATGAAAGCCTTCGACAACACATTGGCGACCCAGTGGGTCTCCTCCCAGTCAAGGTTTTGAGGTATGTTGGAAACTAGGCAAAGGAGGTTTATGTATCTGTTGGAGTGGGAGAAAGAATTCTTGCCTGTTGGAGGCAAGTGTGAATGTTACAATTAATCACCTTGATTAGCATTGCAAAGCCTTGCAGCTTCAAGGCCTAGCTGATTCCTGCCTGAGGGGAATCCTTTGTTGGGAGGTGCTAGCTGGCCCTGATTGTTTCATGTCTGGAATTGTCCTGTTTTCAGAGTGCTGTTTATTTACTGTCCTGATTTTAGAGGTTTTTTAAAAAAAACACCTTGGAATAATTTGCTAGTTCCTTCCTCTGAAATGTAGCCTAGTTTCCCACCGAAGTGTCATTTCCCTTTTTAGCTTCCAAGCTCAGGTAAGGATCTAGGACTTTAGGGTCTGGATCTGCCCTTGGGACTACTAACAAATCTGGAATACCAACAGGACGGTACCTCGCGAGAGCTTGGAGAGCCCGAGCGAGATTTGAGATCTCGCGGGAAGCCCTCAGTGCCGGGTTAGTAGTGGAGGGAGTGAGGAGGCGGGTGGGTGGCTCTCCGTGAGAAGCCCGGGAAGGAGGCGGGACCCCGGCGCTGGGGAGGTAAGCGACCCCGTGGCTGCTGGAGGGGAGGCAGGCTTTTGCTGCCGCGCAGTCAGAGAAGGAGCGCCGTTTCCAGGGCGTCCCGCCTGCGGCCAGGGCTCCAGCTGACTCAACCGGGCGGCCTCCGTTGGGGATAACACGGGCCTCGCTTCCTGGCCCGAGCCACTCCTCTCAGGGACTGAAGAGGTTAAAAATGGCAGCCCAGGCGTGAAACACCACAACTCATTTAAAGGAAACCCCGCCTGGGAGACAGCTTGTCTGTTTCTGGTATCTGGAAGTCCCTTTTTTCCACGTAGGGACACGCACCTTATATTATTATTATCCTCACTGCGAGAACTGTTCAGCAGTGGAACTCTCTGCCCTGGAGTGTGGTGGAGGCGCCTTCTTTGTAGGCTTTTAAACAGAGGCTAGATGACCATCTGTCAGGGGTGCTTTGTGATTTTCCTTCTTCTTGGCAGGGGGTTGGGCTAGATGACCCGTGCCGTCTCATCCAACTCTATGATTCTATCATCATTATTATTTACTTCTTGCACAATATGTGGTTTTTACAGTGCTTGGAAAGAATTGATTCGTGGTTGTGAATGATCTCCTTTTACTACTCTGTTGATCAACGTGCGGAGTCCTTGCCCCAGCAAGGAAATGTAGTACACAGCGCAGCACCTGAGGGTGTCCCTATACCAGGCATGGGCAAACTTCGGCCCTCCAGGTGTTTTGGACTTCAACTCCCTCCCATGATTCCTAACAGCCTCAGGCACCTTCCTGAAAGTAAGGGATCTGAGGCTGTTAGGAATCGTGGGAGCTGAAGTCCAAAACACCTGGAGGGCCAAAGTTTGCCCGTGCCTGATCTAGATTGACTGCAGTTTGACACTGCTTTAATGGACACAGCTCAGCACTATGGAATCCTGGGATTTGTAGTTTTGCAATGTCAGTAACCTATCACCAAACTACATAGGCGTCCCCGGTGGCACAGTGGGTTAACCCTTGTGCCGGCAAGACTGCTGACGGCAAGTCAGTGGTTCGAATCCAGGAAGAGTGGGTTGAGCTCCCTCTGTCAGCTCCAGCTTCCCATACAGGGACATGAAAGAAACCTCCCACAAGGATGACAAAACACCAAACACCTGAGCATCCCCTGTGCAATGTCCTTGCAGACAGCCAATTCTCTCACACCAGAAGCGACTTGCAGTTTCTCAAGTTGCTCCTGACATTTTAAAAAACCCTAAACTACATTTTCTAGGATTCCATAGGAATAGCCATTGAAGTGGTGTCAAACTGCATTTGTTCTGCAGTGTACCCTGAGTTCCAACAGCCCATTTGATTCTATTCTCCTTCCCTGTTTTTTTGTTTTTGTTTTTTTTGGTTAAAGGATCAGCTAACATTCTGTGTCTGTGGAACATGTTTAGTCCTAATTGGAGTGTTTGGAGAGAAGCGGGATGACCCCATGGCATTCTGGAAATCTCCAAGTTACCACAGTAGATACCAGAATCCACAGGTTCCCAAATCCTGTTATATACGATAGCATACTAAAATGGTGTCCATGATATAAAATGGCAAAATCAGGGGTGATATTTTGGAATTTTCTTTGAGTCCATGGAAGCAGAATCCTTAGATACAGGGCCAACTATTAATCTTCTTTAGATAAAAGGAAATGGGAAATGTAGGGATACTAACACTTGTAAAGAGTTGAGGTCAAATTCATTGATGTGTTATCCCAGTATTTGATCTAATGCAGAATCATTATATTTGTTTGTGAGCATTAGTGACCCTTTTACTATGGATTGTTGTATGGCTTCAAGGTAAGACCAACATATGGCCAGATTTGTTCAGAGACAATTTGCAATTGCCTTCCTCTGAGGCTGAGAGAGAATGTAATTCACCTCATTTAATGGCTTTCTGTGGTTGAGCAAAGATTTAGGCTTTCAGCCTTCTGGTCCAACACTAAAAACCACACACTATGGCTCTCGCTGTTGAATATTGGATTTGGTTCAGTGAAAAAAACGTTATATTTCCAAAGTACTCTGAAATTCTGGTTTCTTGCCAGGCAATTCTGAAATTCCATCAAAGAGTTGCACTTCATCAAAGTTTTCTATAAAAGCAAAGAGAACTTGTGCCAGGTGGAGAAAGTGGCTTCTGTGAGTGCTGTGAAGTACCTCCACTGTTACAAGAGTCATATAAATCTGTTCCTCCAATCATCCAGTTCCTTGGATTGTTGCCTTCTTTGCCCTGCACTTCCCTTGGTGTACAGTTAATGAGAAGCTGTCATTATCATGTCAACATGTTACAAAGGCTTACTCTTTCTGTACTGTTCATTAATGTAATGAGCTGTTAGGCATTGCTTGACACTGATTGTATTATGTACCAAGGAAAGACATCAAGATTGCAATTTCCCGGAATAAAGTAGGTTGGAATAGAGTGTGGTTTGCTTCCTTCTGTTTTGTTCTCTTTTCTTTTTTGTTAGTATCTGAGAAATATTTTAATAGAAGCTGATATAAAAAAAAATATCAAAACCTGAAATCCAAAATAGGGTTCATAATCCCTTGTACACTTGCTAAAGTGTATATTTTATTGAATTCAGTGGGATTAGTATTTATGATGGATGCTCCCTCCATTGTCCTTCGCATAAAAGTTTTCAATAGCTAGGGTTTCAAAAGTGTCTGGTTTTAGACACATCTAATACTATACTTTTTGCAAATGCTCCTGAAGTTCAGAGTTCCTTGTGTTTCAAAAGTATTACTGGGTTATTTTAAGGAAATACTAACTCAAAGCCAATGAGCCCGGAATTTATTTTTTTTAAAAGAAGTTTATGAGGGACAGGAGGAAGGAAGTGTGGCTAACAAAAGGTTTTTTTCTAAGTGAGATGTTACTGTACTTATTTCCAGTTTTTGCCAATGGAAAAAGTCAAAGATCACTAAACATATTTCATGTTTTCTGAAATTTGGAATTTGTTTAGACATTGTAGTACTTCTGGCAATTGGTTTGGAAATATTGCCTCTATTAGCATCAGGGTTGTGGGCTTTTGACATACTTCTTTTTTAAAGTAATCTTTATTGAATATTATAATACATGTTAATTAAAAATAGAGGGGTGGAGAAGGAAAGAAAAAGAAAGGAGAAGAGAAAAAAAGGAATAAAAAGGAGGGGGGAAAGAGGGGGAGAAATTTTAAAAACAATAAGAAACAAAGATAATAAATTTTCACTTTTTCTTCAGTCTGACTTCCAGGGATCTTCACGGAGGGTGTCTTCCTTTTCCTTCTTCTATAGCTTTTCTTCTTTTTCTCATTTCTTCTTTATCTTATATTTTACAATTAGTGGGTTAATCTAAGTATCTATATATTTTACTTTTACTTTCCTACTTTAGATAGTTATTTAATAGTGTCCAATCTGTCTCTTTTTCTATTGTCCCTTTATATGTTTGCAATAAATAGCTTAGTCTATCCATATTTCTTATGTCCATAATTTTCTTTTTCCAGTCATCAATTGTGGGTGTTTCCTTTTTTCTCCATAATCTAGTGTAGCAAATTCTTGCCGCTGTTGTGAAGAGAAATAAAAGTTTGTCTATATTGCTTTCCATATTTATATCTGAAATTCCCAATAAAAATATCTCAGGTTTTAATGGAATGTTAATTTTCAAATTTTCAAACCGCACTGAGTCGCCTACGGGCTGAGAGAGTGCGGTATACAAATAAAGTAAATAAATAAATAATTTTTTGCACGTTTTCATGTATTTCTTTCCAATATTTTCTTGCTTTCTTACATTGCCACCACATGTGATAAAATGTACCTTCCGCTTCTCCACATTTCCAACATTGTATTGTCGAAGGCTTTCATGGCCGGAATCACTGGGTTGTTGTAGGTTTTTTCGTCACTACCCCACTACCTCTGAGGATGCTTGCCATAGATGCAGGCGAAACGTCAGGAGAGAATGCCTCTAGACCATGGCCATATAGCCCGAAAAAACCTACAACAACCCATTTCCAACATTTGAATTTAAGTTCTTATAATATTTTCCTAGTTTATGTGGTGTCATGTACCATCTACAGAACATTTTTGTCCAATTTTCTTGCAGGTCATATACTCGTGTGTATTTCAGCTTTTTCTTCCAAATAGATTCCCAACCATCCAATCCTATAGATCTTCCAATGTTTCTTGCCCATTTATCATACGTTCTTTAACTCCTTATACTTCCATACTCCATTCCAATAACTTCTTGTATATTATGGATATTGTTTTCTATCATCATTATTTTGCCCCAACTATTTTCCTCTTTTTGACATACTTCTTCTGAAGTTCTGTTGTATCTTTGTATATAACTTGAAAATTTAATAAAACAATTGTCCACAAAAGTCTGAGTTGATTTATCAATGGGTCAGTGAAAGTCCTATACCTTGTTTTTTATGTGAAAGCAAGAAAGAATCACCCCCTTTCTCTGAACTTAGTCCTAGAGGGAACCTAAAAGAAGCACTAACTCCCTCTGTACCACAAATACGTTTTTGAAAACTTTGGAAAGAATATGGAAATAGTGGTGAGTGACAGATCATATCAAAATACATATTTTTGGCTCCCAGAACCTTGTACATGAGTAAATAACAGTAATTTTGTTTCCATATGAGACTTGACAGTTTGGAAAAAACTGTGGAGGTTGTTTTCCCTGAGACTTTGAAATAGAAAGAGTTAGAAATCCACAAACGGATAAATTATTTTGTATGCATTAAAAAGTCCTGTACTGGCAGCCTGTATTGTCACACAGAGTTCAAAGCTTATTCTCTCTCTCTCTTTTTTTTTTTTGTTAATACTAATGCACACCATGACCTTTTAATTATTTTAAAAAATTTCTTATTTTGTTCTTATTACCAAATCAGATGCTAGAGCTAATTACCTAGTCATGCAATGGCTTTGGGAGAACTACCTGAAAAGGATTGGTACGGAATTCTCGGTGCAGAACCATCAGATAGTTTAGCGGAACTGAAAAGGAAGTATCAAAGCCTAGTATTACTGGTAAGTATATCTTTAAATACATACAAAGACAAATAGTTTTAAATCAGGATTTGTTTGATAAGTGATATATAAATGCAACTTCATCTAGTAAGGGAGGAAAGTCTGTGTAAGTAGCTGAAGAAGTGAAACTGTTGATTTCTTCTCTTTAAATAATCTTGGCATACTAGAGTTATTTAACATTCTGAAAATGTACAAAATTTGGGTCACTGTTTTTCATCACATGAATTGAAAAGGTAGTTGAAGAATTATCTTAATTAAAGAAAATGCCTGACCTACATTTCTAAATTGTGACAGTATGAAATGAATCAATCTGTGATTGTGAGTTTGCCATTTGCAACCATGGAAGCAATTATAATGTCACTAACACTAGATTGGGATTGTTGGATAAATTGAGCTTGAGGCACTAACTGAAAAAGATTGTGTCCAGTCTCTCCTCCCCTGCGTGTAAGAATATTTGTTAAACTGCCATAATGGAATTAAAAGGGAAGGATATGAATGATTATTTTGATTTATTTAGTTATTTAGTTATTTACGACCTTTATATGCCGCCCTTCTCACTCCGAAGGGGACTCAGAGTGACTTGCAAGTCATATGTACATACAGCATACTACATTATTAGCATAGTACTAATACATCATTCATAAAATTAGTATTATATAATATTATATTGTTGCTGGGGGGGGAGGGGCTCTGATGTCACAGGATGCAAGATGGAATTGTCTTCTCAGCTCCCCTTCTTTACTCTGGCCCAGAGCAGCCTATATTATATATTACTATGTAATATATATATTACTAACCTCTCTATTTTGTAGAGCATCTTGTGTAAATTACATGTGTGATTCTGTACCATCTGATGTACACTGTTCCATAAAGTAATTAATAAAGGCCTAAGAGCTCGTAGAAGTATATTAGACTGAATACAAGTGTGCTTTTTATATTGTGACAATGCCAGTTGTGCTACTTGAAGCCACCTGTTATCATTGTTTGATTTTCACATGTTTTCAGTTACAACTTGGTAATGTATTCCTCTTTGGTAACTAATAGTGGTTCTTTCTCACATTTCTGATGATCAGCATAAACCAGACATCAGGAGACTCTTAGCCTTGTAGTAAAAATCTCATCTTTGTTAATCCTGTTCATCCAAAGGTGCTTCTACACAGCCACAAAATGTGGCTTGAACCGGCTTGTCTCCTCATGAATGAGAAACTGCTTCAGAAGTGGGAGAGCAGCCACAGAACCCAGCTGTGCTGACATAGGCGGTTTCCAACCCTCCCTGCATCTCCATTCACCCCCCAAAAGAAGGAAATCGCCACTTACCTTGAGCCCCTTGCCATTTACTTCCTGATTCTTGTTGAATCAGGGAGCAAAGGACATTGGGAGGAATGATTTCCTCCTCCCCTCAGTGAATCTGTGTTGGAAAGTCAAAGCTAATGCATTCTCTCAGCCTTGAGTTGTTCAAAATTGGGTTGCCGGGGAAATACTTTCCAACTAGCAACTGATGCCATTTACTCACCTGCTAATCAGGCTATATACATTTCTATTGTCCAGAATTACTTGCATGTGATGCTGCTGATAATACATAATATCTTTCACTTGGAGATAAACTACAGTGCAAGGAAATTTTATGCTGTTACTAAAATTCCTGTCCTAATCTTAAAGTAAATCCTTATGATTTCACAAAAATAGTTATGGGGATTATGTATTTACTTTGGTAAAGTGGATAAGAATGAGAATGTGGAAGCAAGTGTTGACTGTAATTAGGAATGCAGCGTGTTGCCTGTTAAAAGTAAGAATGAAGTAAGTATCATGAGTATAACTATATCAAAGGTAAATGCATATAGAACTTATTTTTAGTTTTGTACACCTATAAATCTTCTCTTTCAAAGATTTCCAGGGGATTATGATAGTCTATAAGCTGTTTGGCTTTTCCTCCCCAGTATTTGCTCATGCCAACCTTACAGTGCAATTCTGTACATGTCAAAAGCAACTGGGGCTTCTTCCTTACATACCTATCCTGTGACTTACATGTTAGTAATATACTGGAGGGATTAGTTAATTTTCATTTTGATTATGCTCATTGAGAAAACTGTTACTGAGCTATATATTCTTTTAAGAAAAAAATACTCAGGGCATCTCTTTCACTTACGGAATAAAAACATTCAATGACTAATTCTGTTAGTCCTTAGATTTGGTTTCTGCCTAGCTGGTAGATTGCCATACCGTTCAGAGCATTTTCACTTCTTTTCTTTGACCGTAAATGGCCCAGTTTATGAAATTGTTGTAATGTACAAGACCAAGCTGTAGTCTAAAGTTATTAAATTGTGCTCAGTAGTTGGAGAAGTTGATTGTAAATATGTACAGAAGGAGCTGCTTTGGCTAAAATAAAAATGAATCTGTATATATACGAACTTTACATCTGAGGCTATTACAAGTGTGGGAAGGTCTACCTGTGTGCAGTTGTACTTATACCTCTACTGTATGTACTCATGTATAATTCTAGAAATGTTAATACCCTTCCCCAAACTGAGTCAACTAATCCATAGGTCAGTATACTTTAACTGTCCCAAGAAAACCCAGTAATACCCTCCATTTTCACCTCTGCAGTGCCCTTTCTGGTCTTTCTAAATGCCTGGGTGCCAGCAGCACCTTTTTGGCTCTTCCCCTGAAAGGGTCATCAAGATAGTAGAGGAGTTATTGCTTCTTCTAGGTTGTCTTAGGATGGCCTAAGCTCTCACCTTGTACCATTCTACGTAGAGAAGAAGATAGTTTCTTCTTTGATATGAGTTAATGCCGAGCCTGAACTTTTATCAAAAAAAGAAACCGCTCCCTTCTCTGAGTAGAGTGGCGAAATATCTTTTTGACTGTATCAGAAAGAAAAATGACAATAGTCAGGGGCAGCCACCCCTCTAGGTTGTGCTAGAGCTTCCCCTTTTCTGTGGAGTGACCCTCAGTCTATCTATGGGGTATATCAAAATCCACAATCCCCCCCCCCCCCAATTATGTATAAGTTGACTTATACATAAGTATATACAGTATTTTAAGCACATTTGAAGATGCTTTTGTTCCTTGAAAACACACATCTTAGCTTTAAAAGGCTGTTAAAATTTAAATTGCCATAATGGCTACTTCTGAAATAACAAAGTTGGAGTGCTTTATTTTTCCTAAATCCAGGGTCTGTCAGACACAGAGATTGTTGTTCAAGTTGATAGACTGACTGTTTGAAAGTAATAGACAGGCAGAGCTTAGGGGTGGCACAATCACAAGTGCGTGCATCTTAACACAGCTGGCAGATCTAAAATTAAGCCTGCCAACTTTGATGGTGCTAGTGCCTGTTGTGATTTGGTTAAATGATATGATTAAATGTATTTTCTTAAATTTATGAGCAAGATTATATATACATTTTAAAATGCCAACCAACTTTACTTGAGTGCATTCCAAAGATAAATGATAGCTGTCTATTAATTTTAGAGTATTACAGTTGAAGAATTTCTTCCTCTGCAGAGCCTAAATGCCAGCTCTGAAATGCAGACCACTCTTTTTCTATGAATAGTCCCATGTTCCTTATAGTACAGCTATGAGGGTATATGACATTCAAAGCTATGTCCAGTGCTGTATCATTTTTATTTGTTGTTAATTTTTGTTAAGTCAGCTTTGACTTACATTGACCCCATGACACCCTGGGTATCTGGGTTTAGAGAAATGCTGGAAGGGGGCTGTTTAGGCGCGATTCTAATGCACCATCGAATGTACAGTTGGGAAAAAACGTATTTAGTCAGATACCAATTGTACAAGTACTCCCACTTAAAAGATGAGATAGGCCTGTGATTGACATAATAGGTAGACTTCTTTTTTTAATGTTTTTTTTTTTGGTAATTGTATCCATTTAATCCATCGAAATAATCTTACTTTATATACATCCATAAACCATTACATTTTGCCCCCCTTTTTCCCCTACCCCCTCCCTCCAACTTTACAGCAAAGTGTTTTTAAGTGTAGTCAGTCCAGGATTCTGTCCATTTTTTGCTTTATCTGATCATTAGCTTTCCCTTCTTCAACCCATCATCATAGGTAGACCTCAACTATGACAGACAACATTACCTACAAACGAGCAAGATTTCTGGGTCTCACTTATTTGAACTTGTTATCACTATAAAAGACATCTGTCCACAACCTCAAGCAGTCACACTCCAAACTCCACTATGGTGCAGGCCAAAGAGCTGTCCAAAGATACCAGAAACAAAATTGTCGCCCTGCACCAGACTGGGAAGACTGAATCTGCAATAGGCAAGCAGTTTGGTGTGAAGAAATCAACTGTGGGAGCAATAATTAGATAATGGAAGAGATACAAGACGACTGATAATCTCCCTCGATCTAGGGCTCCACGCAGGATCTCACTCCGTGGGGTCAAAATGATCACAAGAACGGTGAGCAAAAATCCCAGAACCACACGTGAGGACCTAATAAATGACCTGCAGAGAGCTAGGACCAACATAACAAAAGGCTACCATCAGTAACACACTACGCTGCCAGGGACTCAGATCCTGCAGTGCCAGACACATCCCCCTGCTTAATCCAGTACATGTCCAGGGCCGACTGAAGTTTGCTAGAGAGCCTTTGGATGATCCAGAAGAGTATTGGAAGAATGTCATATGGTCATATGAAACCAAACTAGAACTGTTTGGCAGAAACACAACTTGTGCTTGGAGGAGAAAGAATTCTGAGTTGCATCCAAAGAACACCATACCTACTGTGAAGCATGGGGAGGGCAACATCACCCTTTGGGGCTGTTTCTCTGCAAAGGGACCAGGGTGACTGATCCGTATACATGAAGGAATGAATGGGGCCATGTATCCTGAGATTTTGAGTGCAAACCTCCTTTCATCAGCAAGGGCACTGAAGATGAAATGTGGCTGAGTCTTTCAGCATGACAGTGATCCCAAGCACACTGCCAGGGCAACAAAGGAGTGGCTTTATAAGAAGCATTTCAAGGTCCTGGAGTG